TCGGCTCAAAGTACGATATTAATCTTGTACTATAACTCATCTGATTGATAACCATCTGGTCTATTGTGCGATGTATTAAATTATATTAATACCGTGGTCTAATGTGCGATGTATTAATTAAATTTTATAAATATTATAAGAACTTTATTATTTAAATACAATATTGCTCTCGCCCATTTGTCTTAAAATCTTAAAAGAACGTGTTGTTTTGTTAAATATTAAAATGCAAGATTTTTTATTAACAGTAAAAGAGCAAATTTTTCTTCATTAAACTGAATTTATAAGAGAACAATTAAATATTAAAGAACAACATTAAAAATTCTGAAATGTTAAAAATATAATAACAGAGTTTTTTGGGGCTTAGTCGAACTCTATATTCGCTCAGAAAATAATATTATGTAGCTTACTAATGGTTATATTTTAATACTATTTTAATATTTTAATACACAACGCGTAAATCGGAAAAAAGTATACTGTGAATAATTTCATATAACGTTAATGTGATCGTTCATGCTGATACTGTAGTATATAAAAAGTATAATTTGGTGTTATACTGATATATATGTTAATGTTAAAACTTATAAATTTAACATTAAAAGATTAATTCGTATATAACCACTTCTGTGGATTACCACTATGATTTTGACTACTCTTTAATTTATTCCTAATAATTAACGTGATTAAAATTTAAAACATCGCTCATATTTGAGATATTAAATTATTACAAGTCCGATTAACATAAACAAAAATTTTATGAAATTCATCATCATCTAATAATGCAAGAAAAATCATTGCGGAAGTTAATAACTTTTTCCGATTTGTATAGTAGTAATAGCCGAACTATTTATAAACTATTGTATTTTTAATATAATAATTATCAATCAAGTTATTGAAGATACGTTAGATACTATAAATGTAATCTAAATTTAATAATAATCCTACGGTCACCGGTCCAACTTTATAAATCATATTCATCCAAAGAAAGGAGATAGATTAATGTCTTAAATGGAGTGGTGAGTTGTCGATGAATTTACCAAGAGCCACCATGAGATTATTTAGTTGATAATATATTCCGAATTTGAATAATTTTCAGTTATTATTTTTATGAAATCACGTGACAGAAAGAATTATTTGTCGCATGACAGAAAAAGAAAATGATGCTTTAAATATTATTGGCGATGGGTCCAGTACAACATTTTGCAAGAAGTTTCGAAATCTTTTTAAGGTATAATTTTGTCAAAATACCGTCTTAATTCTAATTCTGGCCTGCTTTAATTTCGCATTAAAAATTGTTTGAAAATCACGTGACTTGTGGCTCATATCAGAATAAAAACACATCGTTAGATTCGGGGCGCTGGTCCCCAACGTGGACAACGGATTTAGGGGGGATACCGGTAAGATGGTTTCCAGCAAGGTAGACTCTCAAAGAAAGAAACAACGTGAGAAATTCCAAGCTACAATTAGAAAAATTCTAGATAGATTCTATGACGTTAGCAGCCTTTCTGAAGTGGACTAAGGTAAATTTTATATGGGTTATGGTTGGAACCTCCCGCATACCAACGTTACATATAATGGATCCTTACAGTTCTCTCCATAATCAACTAAAGATGAAACTATGGCAGTTCTTACTGCGCTTATTGCTTAGCCACAATCCGGAATTATCAACGTCATCAAAGCTCAACCCTATCTCACCCCGAAGACAATATAACAAAATCAACATCAATATTCTCTGTTTATATATCACATTTTTTTTTTAATCTAGTTTATTATTGATTGTAATAAAAGGTAATAACGTAAAGAACATGATTTTGTTCTTTTCTATATTCCAATAAAGATATTTGACTTTATAGTTCGTATCTTTTTTAAGAAGAAATTTATTATCTGATTGTTTCTTTACTAAAGTTAGATTTTTTCTTTGTTGATAAATTTTAAAGGGCGTCTTTTAAACATTTATAAAAAATAAACAGGTAAACGGAATAAATTTGTCTTTATTTCCGTTTATGATTTTGCTTTTACGCTAAGATTATAAAAGTTTTATTTCCGTTCATCATTACTGATTACTACAAATAATTTAATTAAATGCGTGAAGACATCACTATGATGTAAAAGGACATAAAATCATATATCCAATTGTAATTATTTTTATTTTATAATATAATTAATCATTTCCTCCCTTTACTAGTATCTGTATTACATCGAAAAAATAGATTATCAGTAAGTCGACAATCGTATATATATAAATATATACATGTATATTGTGCGTTACACACTTTGTTATGTTTTTAAAAGAAATTAAAAATAAATTTCATCTTTACAAACTTAAAAAATTTTTTTGAATAACGTAAACAATGGTTATTTAATATATGGTATCACATATTATAGTGTTGAAATAAAAAAATTTCCTTTCTTCTTTCAAGGGTTTGATTTATAAAAAATTTAAATCGATTTACTAAATAGTATCATTCAATAATGTACCGCAATAGCCGAATTATTTTATAAACAAATCGTATTAATGAATTTTTTTTTTTTTTCTGTATGACAATAACGGAAGATATAATAAAGGTATTTATTTACAGTAAGTTATTATCGTTCAATTTTTATTCCGAATTTATTATTTTTATTATTATTACAGGAAAAGTCGCCGTATAATGCAGGCCATAGTCCCCCATGCATAAGTATTCGCCCCCTCTTTCACTCGAAAAAATGGTTTCATTTTCTATTGATTTTATTATTTAAAGAATATATTTTACTCAGACATTATATATAAATATTTTTCTGATTACTATATAAGCATTTTATTCATAATAGCAATTAAGAGTGGTGTTACAAGAAATTTGTAACTCGCAGTATACGGTGCATAGAAAAATGGCTAGCGATAAACTAAATGTAGTAATACGTAAATTTTATATAATTATAGTAATTAATAAACAGAGCTGCCCTTCAGGCTTTCACAAAGTTGAACGACTCAACTTTATAACCCGAGCAAGTGAAGTTCTAAGGTGAATAGTTGGTTCTGTCGGTGAATTTTTCAAATGCTACCGTGAAGAATATTGAAAGATTTTTATTTCGAATTTGATAAGAAAAAAATAAAAATAAATGTTATTTATCGTTATAACTTTTTTTCGAGTGATATTAACCACGAATCGCACCTAAAATTCAATATCTTGGATTTTTATTAGTAAAATTGCAGATACTGTATATTCTTTGTCATACATACAATTTAATGAATATGTAAATCCAATTGAAGTAGGTGGAACATTAATTGCATAGTTATCTGCACAACGATATAGCAGATATAGCAGAAAATCGATTAATAAACTGCCTCGGAGATTATTTGTAGTTTGTTATTAAGGTGATTTTTATAAATACATTTAGCTGTTTATCTGTATAATCGTGATCGCAGATAAGAGATATTAGGTCGACAAAGAATAATATATATAGAATATTTAAAATTTAAAAATTTACCAAAATAAGAAATAATCATCAATTTTGAATATTTTGAAGCTTTCTATTAAGCAACTTTATAATTAAAAATATTTTTTTTATTCGACCCCCAACAATTCTAGAATCAGGTTATGTACTAAACTTTAAATCATAAATAATAAAATAATTTTTTGTTTATATTATTTATGTTTGATTATAAGAATTGTAATTTCTATGAGTGTATCTTACCATTTTTATTTACTGCATGTTATCTATGTCTACCTAAGGCTATATTACAAGAAATTTTTAATTTTTGAAGTTTTAAAAAGATTGATAAAATTTATCCATCAATCTTTTATGAGTCTGATCGAGCTTTTTTTGATTTAAACTATAAAGATATTTTTTTCATAATAAAGACTATATAATATATATTTATTTTATTTAGGTTTGTTCAATAGAAAGGATATACTGTACATGTAACTCTAATCCTTGCAAGGATAAATAAAGCTTGATTTTACTGACTATTTTTTTATAAAAAAAGTAATCATAGTAGATCAATACATCTGATATATGAATCAACAGATGAGATAATCAAATTTTTTTACGTTTAAATAAGAATCGCTTTATGGTTGGCATCTTTTCTTTTTGTTTATTCATTTTTTAAATGAATTTACAATAAAAACTTACATTTGCATTTTAGTATCTATTGTAGTTTGTATTTTTTCGGAAATTTCCGGTGGTTTTAAAAAAAATTTTCTTATACTGTCAATTTAAAAATTAATTTACTCAATTTATATTAAGACTTATCAAGAATTCTAACGGGTTTTGTGAGTGTTTTGTAATACTTTAAAATTTATTCCTAAATTAATATAATTGATGATTCCACTAACTGTTAATTTTTGTGTGATTACGGGAATTTATGTAGATATGTACGATTTTAAAGTATTACAACATGCTATATATCAGAATAATGAAATTCTGATCGAGTAGTCGGGTGGTACAATAGGAATCGTACAATAGAACAATAGATTAATTATGAAATGATGTACAGAACGCCTATATAAAAACACCATCTGACCTTGTCAAAGGTTTCACCATTTATTATTAATGATTTAATGTCATTACACAATATTGATAATTTTTAAGATAACTATAAAAAATTATCTAATCGTTGAAAAGATAGGATCGCAAATGTTGTTCCCAAAATAAATAAAAAAAAGCTTTTCCTTCCGAACTATAATTACGTTGAATAAAACTTAAAATAAACTTTAGATTAAATAAAAAGAATAAAATAAAAGATTAAAATGATTTAGTTTCTTGACAGTCAATTGAACTCTGATTGGAAGCGATTCTATTTAGTAACTAGGCTTCACACTTGACTTATATAACTTTTATTATGTTCTATAGTAAAACAATTCATGTAACTATTAAAAGACATCGTTGTTACACAAAATTATATATGAGTTAAAAATAACCGAGACCCATTTTATTTTTTTTATTTAAATACCCCAAATACCCACATAAATGATAATTTGATCTGACAAAAACCATATCTTAATTAATATACTGTAATTTACATGTATCCTTCACAAGACAATATTACTAGTCGAAGTGCCCACGAATCCAATATTACTGGATTCATGAATAATGATTGCGCAACAACAGCTATTCAAACAGAACATCCTCCAAGTATTAACTGCAATTCTTGCAGCCACAATAATAGCATTTCCGGTATGAACAAGGATGACGATATTTTTCTCTCACATGCTATTATTTCTCCCGACCATAATAACTATCAACAATCCATGCCCAATAACATTTCAAATAATAACGATATTATTTCGCCTGCCCATAATGATTACCAGCGGCAAATTTCTAATGACGCTTCAAACGAGAATGTTACTAATATTTCTCCTGGTAACAAATATCAGCAACCTGTGCCTAATAATGTTTCCTCTTCCCAATTTTCTCCGCAATACAATGATCAAATTTCACCTCGTTCTAATGTCTTTCCTTTACTTAAGTCACTCGGAATAACTATAAATTCTCCCCGGACAAGTATTAATATTAATATTATTGTACCATCAACTAGTTCAGATATTCTAAATTTGCTTCAACAAGATGATAGTACCTATTCGAATAATTCTTCCTAACTTAAAAGACTTTTGTAATGTTTAGGATTTTTTTTTACTTATTTCTTTAATTTTAATTTTATTTTACTTTTATTTATTCACCTAGTGTAAAAAATCATAGTAGATATTTTGTCTTCAATTGAATAAAATTATTAAAACTTAAATTTAAAGTATTATATACAAGACTTTTGTGTACTGCGATTAATTTACCATATCTAATGCTGGTAAAGTTAGTAGAATAAGCAAAACTAAATTGCCAAGCATTTAATTGTTCCAAGTTTAAAAGAATATTAATTTTTTACTGTGTTAAAATTTTTTCTTTATTCATTCACACGTAAGATTTTTTTGTTACAAATGTAGAAGATGTGCGTATATAATTTCTATAAATTAAATCAAAGTTTGAATAACAAATTTTTGAATAAAGATGACTACGGAATAAAATAAATGTTCCTTTAATTAAGGGGTTATTTCTAATATAATTAATGACGTAAAGAATACTCCATATAAGTAAGGTTCTAAGTAGGTTTTTTTGAAAGAATTTTTTTTAAGTTCAAACATTGGTACATTGTTTGGTTTGAAAACTTATTTTAAAAATTATTAATGTTACCCATTTTTCGCTGTATTTGCGTTTTTTCTTTTGACAAAATTTTTTATTTTCGATATTTATGATATTTCCTGCTGACTTGGTAATGAAGTTGACTTTTTTTTTATATATATATATGTATATATTTATTATCAAAAAATTTTGTGATCATTAGTCCGAACTGTAACGAAGGATTAAATACTTCTACGTTCGACGAATGACGATGCCTTCATGTCGAAATCCGGTAATTCCGGTAATTCCTAATATTATTCTGTTCATCTAAACATGATATACAGTATATACTAGTATATACTGCATGTTGTATGTTACACACTTTATCATGTTTTCATGGATAAATTTATTAGGATTTCTTCGTTATATTTTTAAAAGAAATTAAAAACTAGCATCTTTACAAATTTTTTTTGAACAACTGAACGTAAACAATGGTTATTTAATACATGATAACACATTATAATGTTGAAATAAAAAAATTCCTTTTTTCTTTCAAGGGTTTTATTTATAAAAAATTTAAAATTTTATTTTCGATTCACTAAATATCACTCAATAATGTACCGTAATAGCCGAATTATTTTAAAAATGAAAAATTGTATGACAATAACGAAAGATAGAATAAAAGGTATTTATTTACAGTAAGCCATTATCGTTCAATTTTTATCCCGAATTTATTATTATTATTATTGCGGGCCAATTGAAAGACCTCCCATGCATCCCATGCATAGTATTCACTCTTCTTTCATTCGAAATTATAATAGATATAAAACGTCTATTTTATTTATGGGGTTAGTCTTACAAGTTGAACGAATATGGAACTTTTAAAAATTTTTTTTTTATACCATAGTGTGCTGTATGAAGTAATAATAGTGTAAATAATGAAAAAAGTTTCCATTTTTATAACACAGTATTCTTTCTTATTCTATTTTTCCTTTTTCGGTTTATATAGAAAAAATTTGAACGCCTGCATTTGAACGCACCCCCTTTTTGGAAATTTTTAAGTAGTAAATTTGTCGATCATTTATGATCACTTCATGATCAGCAAATTTTACTAATTTCCAAGGGAGGTGCGTTGCAACGCACCTGCGTAAAATTATTATTTCCTTCTTAAAATTGTTATTACCGAACATCTTTTTATGAAAATAACATTCAAATATGCTTTAAATTCATGATTTTCATCTTCACGGAAAAATCTTTTTTATTGAGATAAAAGGTAATTTTCATACACACGCTCCGATTACGTTTTCTTCCGATTCAGTATATTATAATGATTATTACTATTAATGCAATATAAAATAAAAAATTCTTAATTGAATTATATACAATTTTTGATTCACGGGAATTGTGCTTATTATTCCTATTGTAAATTTGAATAAAATGATTCTAGATTCATTATTGTCCGCTCTTTATATCATTTTGTCAACATTTATATGGTAAATAAAGAAAATGAAATAAAAAATAAAATAACCTAAAATATTTTATAAAGTTTTTTTCGTATGAAGATATTAATAAATAAAAATTTTTTTTAGTAATTTGTGCATTAAGGGCGGTGTGGCGTTTTGTGTGATCAAGAAATCACAATCAACCATGTAACATATAATAGCCGAGCCCTGGGAATATCATACAAATTTACATATTTACATGTGATCTGCATCTTAACGCCACAAGGAATGGTACACAATAAAATTACATTATCGGACAATTATTATATTGGAAAATAAATTTATTTGACATATCATGACAAAATTGAAATTCTCGGGGTTTGAGTACTTATTTATATACAAATTGTACACTAGTCGATCATTAGTGTAAATCAAATTTTAAAGACGTGTTGTTACATATGTTCTAAAAAACTTAGATTAAGCGTTAAAGTATTATTACTAATTGAATGAATTATGGAAAACTATGTTTAAATAAAATATTTTATTATATTATTATTTTATGAATTTGTTTTTAAATGCACGATATGAGCAGTAGTAGAAAGAAATGTAATAAATGTAGAAAAGTCATAGAATAGTGAAATTTTATCTGACTACATAAATTATAATAGTTATATTTAATAGCCTTCGTTGTGAAATTATTATTATGCAATATATACTAATAATTTTATATTTATTGATTCAAAAAAAAGTGAAAAATGTTCACAATTTATTAATATATTATAGAAATCAGAGTTGCTAATAACTCCCTAAACGTTAATTTCCTTTTAATAATTGATAGAAAAATGGATGAGTTCTAAAGAATCATTTTCTTTTATTCTGTTGTACGAAATAAATATAAATGCCTTATGGCTAAATTTATATGTCAACATATGACAAATATAATTTTAATCAAATGAAATCATTCAAAGAACGCCTAAAATTGACTTATTGGTTTCAACCGGATTTAAACATTTTTTCCATTTTAAATTTTTATTTTATTATTTCAAAGTCTTCATATATTCTAATTTAATTTGTAAGCTAATAGAATAAAAAAAAATTTTTTTGCTATACTGTACGCGAATTTATTTAATTATACTAATTTAGCATTTTCTTGAAAAATTATATTATATAGTTATGGAATTTTACCACCCTTTTTGAATATTTATAAATTAATAAAATTGATTATGTTACTTAACAACAGTATTGTAATGTACCATTATTACCGCCCAACGCCCCATTGAGATTTCTTCAAATGCAAAAAATTAAAACATATATATATATGTTTCTTTTAGATCCAAATGAAAATAAATTTTTACTCACTTTTCGTAATTATAATTATTATTAACTTAATTATAAAATTTGGAAATTCAATGTTATTATTTAATATCTCGTATTATATTTAATGTTTATGCGCGTCAATTACATAAATTATTCTGAAAGTGAGGTGAAAAAAACTTTAAGAACTAAATTACCATAGTCCGTAGCCAAATGATTCCGGTTCGGTAAATCGTGGAACCGATACTACTGGCCTGATACTGAAACTGTGTAACTGCGGTTCGGTTCGGCTATTTTGTTGGTAAAAATACCAGTGAGTAGTGACCCAAACTCAACGTGTTAATGTTATTATTATATCTTGTATAAAAAAAAAAATCACTTGAAGTAATGTAAAAAATATACTACACATATATGTATAAATAAATAATTACGGCTTTACGTTCAGACACAAATAAACTTCCTTTTTTCTTTCACATTTTTATTTTATTTATGTCGATGTTTTTAAACCGACAGGAAATGATTTCATAATTTTATTTTCTTTGCTGTTAAATTCCTTTTTTGTTATAAAATCGAAATCTTTTAATAAAAACTTTTTAAGAGAGTAGGCTATTACAACGGCAAATATGATATTTTAGGTTAGTACGACGGAGGCGTTATGCATGGCTCGTATCCGCACAAATGCAAAAGTCACGCTACATCGTTACACGGTAAGTCATTTATGCAGAATTTTACAATTTACAGTATGAAAAATTTTAATGAAAAAAATTAATATTATCAATAAACCATATTATAATTTATAAAATGAGAAATTATCGTAACTATTCGGATATTAGTTTCGAAAGATTTATCATTATTGACCCTCATTTGTCTTCGTATAAAAGCTGGAATTATCATATATGTGTGCATTTAGTTAATAATCATGCGATGAAAAATCTAAGTATATCAGAAAATTTTCCAAATTCAAGATTTCTACAATAATAAAATCATTAATAAAAGGTAAAATATTTCCTTCTCAATTATACTACTTTGTTTTATGTAGCTTTACTTCACTTTAACGGTAGTCGACTAATTATAAGTATCTACATTCTACCGCCGGTTATTTATAATAATTCTTTGCCGAAACACAATTTAGTTAGATTTAAATAGAAAATTTTATTTTGTTCGATTCCTTTAGTTATAGAGGGTAAATTATTTATTAATTTGCTTTCTAAGTGTTTTAAAAATTTTTGTAATTTGCTAATGGTAGTAGTCGACTAGTTATAAGTATCTACAAAAAAAAAAAAAAAAAAAATAATAATTCTTTGCCGACACCGACAACGGGTATTTTATTAAATCCGGAAATTATTAACGACTATAATGAAAGTTTACTTGCATATAGATATGGTGTAAACTTGTAAACTAGCAAAAATAGTCATTAAAGTATTAATGAAAAAAAAGGGTTGACCTTTTTTAATATTGAAAGAGAGCAGAAATTTGCAATGAGTAAAAAGTATAGTATTCCATAACACATTATCTCTTGACAACATTCTTTTTAAAACAATATTTTATTTAAATGTACTGGTTAGTAGATTACAATATACGATAAATTGAATAAAGAAATAAAACAAGTACAAAAATATAAGTAAATAAAAAGCTAAACGAATCATCAATATCCTAAATTTCTACATATTTTTTAATTTATTGTTTAAATTGAGTTTGTAAATTATCAGTGATAGAATGATTCGGGTAAT